AGGTGACCTGACATAGAAATAGTTTTTTAAGGAAGAGTGGTGATATGGTGGATTTTTCACGTTCTATCCCAAGGATTTCATCTAAAAATACAGGAGGAATCAGATAGTAGCACACTGAACCTTAGCTGAACTGTCTTTAGAGAAAAAGCATTGTATGCAGGCATGAATAAGCAGAAACAAGAGTATGTAAATGCTAAGAGTCAGAGATACTCTGGAGGACAAGGAGAATTCTTAGTAATTATCATGGAGAATTGAGAATCTCTAATGGCAGGGGAAATTCTATGTTATCCAATGAATGGAGCCAAATTGGATTCTACCAAAATCGGGATTGTAATGTCAGACTCAACTAAATTTCCATGGTTTCTGGCTGTAAGACATATATCCCCCTAGTAATTGCTCCAATATCCATGGAACTTAGATAACAGAAGAGACTATCATTCCTTACAAGTCAAAGAACTTGTAAGGTCCCTCTGGTTTGCATAACTTTCTTTTTCCTTCATTCTTTGTTATGTGCTCTGGTGACTTCCTCCGTAATTTTTATTCCTTTCTTATCTGTTCCAGCCTATTGCCACACTTCACATCCTCCACTGCAGAAAAATGTGCACAGCCTGGAGTGATGGTGGCAATGGCAGTGAAGGGTAAACAAAGCTTGTCAGTCATCAGTGACTCACCAAGAAGCCCCAAGCTTTTAAACACAGTCTTGCACCCACTGCCTTTGACTTTTTAAAAATCCATTTCTCATTGTAATGAATGAATGAGGACATGACAGTTTAGCTCAGATGTTAAATTACAGCTAAATTTAGAGACATTTTTCTCTTCCCTCTCTCTATTAAGGTATCTTAATTTTCTTAGAATTAAGTTCCTAGATTATTCCTCCATTCAAAGATGGAAAAATAGCTACACAGAGGGACAGTTTAGAGTTAATACACATCTAGTTCACCTAAAATACTCTTTTTAGGAACAAGCACTAACCTTCTGAGCTGTGTCCCTACTATTATATCATGATAGTCCACACAGCTGTAGGAGGATCAGATTGGATAAGTAAGAATTTTCCCTTTCTGAAGTGAAAACAAGTTTTTAAAAATATTGTTTTTTTGTTTAATACTCGAACTTTCATAGGTTTTAGTAAGACACGTGACTCGCCAGTCTGCAACTGTATTTCCAGCCTCTTCTGGAGCTAAATGTGGCCATGGTCTGAGCATCCCCTAATAGAATGTGAGCAGAGAAATCCTTGCAGCTGCTCAGTTGCTGTTGTAATTACTGTTCTTTGAAAGCAAAGGGCTTGCCTTCCACTTTTTCTTTGGCTACCTTCTAACTGCAGATGGGATATTATTTAACAAATTACACTTATGCAGTTGGAGTAATATAATAGGAAACAGCAGGGATTAGGAAATGAGGTGGAAATAAAGTTTATAGACTGAGTAGATCAGAGTAGTATACACACAGGAGGCCTCTGGGCTGTTGTGTGGAAGCATAATAAACTTTTCTACCTATGTATCTGTTCTATTTTTGTTTCTCTATTGTAAAAGTTCAACAGTACTGGAACTAATACATGACAGTGGACACTTTAAGTGCTTAGTATATGTCAAAGAACAACATAGTTTCTGAATATGTATTAGACAACTCAGTTCCCTTGAAGTCATCCTAAAAGAGGAGCAATAATCTGTAAAATGGAGGGCCTTTGAGGAGAGGTGAGGTGACTAGTCCAACACATACATGTAAGTGGCAAAAGTCTAACTTAATCCAAAGTGGTTCCCGAGCACGAAGTTTTTTTTTCCATAATCTCCTCTTTATTAATAACCATTCATATTTTATATGGATAATTAAAATATTTTTCTCTGATATGCATTGTAACTCTAAAATCCTCAATCTACTTTGGTATATATTCAACATTTAATCCTGATTTTGGGTAGGGGGAATTTTTTAGTTCTGAATAGATTCATCTGGCTTTGTTTGTTAGTTTTTAAATCCCTCAGATTGTGTTAGTGACACAAATGATAACAAATTATGATTATATATAAAAAGGAATAGGATCTGTCTAGTCTTTGAGAATGACAAAATTTCTTTAACTTTTTCTCATGAACTCCGCATTTGGTTGTTAATCAATATGGGTGAAAACCACTCTCAACATATACGTTTAAATATATTTTGTGGTGATAGCACATTTAAACAGAGGAAACAGGGTCCTGAGCAGTAGTACAACAGGTAGGGTGTTTGTGTTGCATGAAGCCAACCTAGGTTCAATCCCCACATTCCATATAGTACCCTGAGCACTGCCAGGAGTAATTCCTGAGAGCAGAGGCAGGAGTAGTTCCTGAACATAACTTGGTGTGAAGCAAAAGCCAAAGTATAGGAAACATTGGAAAGATTATTTTCAACAAGGAATGTTGCCCATCCTATTAATCATTCTAAACATATAAGCAGGTGGAATTTACATCTTCCATGGTTCTACTTTAGTAAAATGTTAGATTCATCATCATTCTGCTGTGTATAGGTTAGATTGAGTTTGCTGCATAATAAATGAAAGTGAAATGTTAAATTACCTTAAGTAAGACTAAAGACATGAAAACATTTCTCTAGAACATGAAAGGGATTTTGGTAAAAGGCAAAAGATTTATATGACCTGAAGAGAAACCAGAGAATATGAAGAGAAAACAGAGTATAACAGATTGGGAGACTAACACCCAAAAATAGTAGAGATAAGTACCAGAAGGATCACTCCACAGCTTAGAAGCCGGCCTCACATGCAGGGAAAAAAGGCAGCTTCAATAGAGAAGGGACCACTAAGTAAAGGGTGCTAGGAGGATCCGATTGGGATGGGAGATGCAGGCCGAAAGTAGACTATAGACCAAACATGATGGCTACATAATACCTCTGTTGCAAACCACAACACCCAAAAGAGAAAGAGAGAGCGAAAGGGAATGCCCTGCCGCAGAGGCGGGGTAGGATGGAGGGGACGGGGTGGGGGTGGTGGGAGGGATGCTGCGACCATTGGTGGTGGGAAATGGGAATTGGTGGAGGGATGGGTACTCAATCACTGTATGCCTGCAATGCAAGCACAGAAGTTTGTAAGCCTGTAACTTACCTCACAGTGATTCACTAATAAAAAATAAATAAATAAGCATAATTATACAGTTTGAAGAAAAAGAAAAGACTTTTGGGGAGTGGTGGAAGGCCACACCTGGCAGTACTTGGAGTTTACTCTTGCACTGTGCTCAGGAATCACTCTCAGTCACCATAAAGGGCCCAGGGAATCAAGAAACCCTGAATAGCTGCATTTAAAGCCAGTGGCTTACTGGCTGTAATATCTCTCTGGTCCAGGGAAGAAGTTTTGAGTTGGGCTGTTGTAGACTGGTTTGGTGGATTCTAGGTTGTTGGGATTCTAGTTCTTTTTCCCTCCCAAATTTCTATAAATATTTTTCATCATAAAGTTTTTATCTCTTCTGGTTATTGAGCCCCTGAAGAATGAAAATCACAGAGCCAGTGCTGCAGAATTAGTGAGGGAGCAGGCAAAGGGCCTTTATCCCCCTGTAACCTGTTGCCAGGGCTGGAGCGATAGCATAGCAGGTAAGATATTTGTCTTGCACTCAGCCCAACCAGGGTTCTATTCCTCCCTCCCTCTCGGAAAGCTCAGCAAGCTACCGAGAGTATCCCGCATGCATGGCAGAGCCTGGCAAGCTCCCCGTGGTATATTCGATATACCAAAACAGTAACAGCAAGTCTCACAATGGAGACGTTACTGGTGCCCACTCGAGCAAATTGACGAACAATGGGAGAACAGTGCTACAGTGCAACTGTTTCCACTAAACAAATATCCACTTCCATCTCATTAACCCATATTTAACCATACTGAGTTTCATAGCTGTCATATAAAACCAAGTAGGACTGAGAAGAACCAATGTTGGGTAGACTTACATGCTTTCCAATTAGGCAGATCTCACCATTCTGTAACATGGGAACCACATCTGGCCTGCAGCTCTTTGGATTTTCTTCAATAAAAATATTGGAACCAACTCATATATTCATTTATGTATTTTCTGTAGCTCATTTCATTTTAACAGCAGGGAAGAATAGTTATAAATCTTTGTTCTGCATTGTTTTGTGTCTTGAGCCATACTCAGTGGTGCTGCGGGGCTGATCTAGAATAGGTGCTCTGGATTTGATCATGGACTGTGTGGTGCTGTGTATCAAACCCAAGCCTCCTGCATGTAAAGCATGTGTTCCAACATTTAACTATCTTTCTGGCCCAGTTACAGAGATTTTATGAAGAGTGGGGTCTGAACTATTTCCTGTCAAGTAGGTGCTCTATAGAAAAAGTTCATGAATCCAAGATCTAGACATTAGAAGACAGATTTTAAGAAATGAGTGGCTTCTTAGGATTTACTCCTTCAGAAATAATCTATTTCTCCTCAGACCAGTGAGATAATTTCTATTATAGTCACTTGTTTGCCTACAAGTAATCTGACTAAGGGTGGATTAAACAAAAAGAAATTCATCTCACATACAATGGCTTCCAGAAGAATGCAGTGCCAAAGTTCAACAGGGCCTTCCAACTGGTTTCCTTTATACCCACAACCATGTGCTGAGAGTTGACATTCATTTACATGATTTCTATAGGGTGCAGTGGCACCTACAGGCATTTAGGTCTTCATCTTGCAGAAAGAAGAGGAAGGTACCAAAGACCAAAGGGAATAGGATTCTCTCTTCCTTTACAAAAACTTGCCCAGAGGTCCTCATTGACCTGTACTAGGTCTCATGCCAGGCATTTATTAGCAGAGGAGGATTCTGAGACCACAAATTGAGCAATTATAGGAGTAAATACATGGGGATTTGTCAAGAAGAAGGAGAGAATGGCTGGTGTTCTCCAGAGAATGGCCCATCTGACCATTCCAGCGTCTAGTGGTTTCTCCTTCTCTACCACCTTCCCTCACTACCTTTGACTGTTATGATTCTTCAAACTAATTCTGTTCTTTTTATCTCCCTTTCTTCTCTTTGGCTAGGTGAGAAGCCTGGAAATGAGCCTGAAGAGGTGAAGCTGCAGAATGCCAGCAGGCAGATTGTCCAGAAAGCCATCCTGCAAGCTGTGCAGCAGGTCTCCCGGGAGAGTGGGCAGGGGAGAGAGCCAGCCAGTGACCACAGGGGCAGCTTCCAGCTGGGATTGGGGGCACTGACCAAGAAGCATGAAAAGAAGTAACACTGTGGACTTGGCTCCTGTCATGCTTGGTTTCTGGCCTTTCTCTTAGCATAGGATGCATCACCAAAATGTGGCCAGCAAAGCAAACCAAAGTGTCATTGGCACCTAGAAGTAGAATGCATTTGCCCTAGACCTTGGCTGAGCACGGTTTGAAAAAGTGTGTTCAGTGATTTTGTTTCTATCAACACAGTGCCTCTGAGACAGAGTGGGGCCAGACAAGACATCATACTTGCAAAAGTAGTTCTACAGCGCAATTTATTTTTAAAGATTTTTAAAATATAAAAATCATTATCTTGTTTATTTACTTTTGCGTCTTATGCATTATTTTTCTGCAGATTTAACCAGCAGTCTTCTCTCTCTCGCTCTCTCTCTCCCTCTCTCTGTATGTATAGAAATACAGAATGCAATATGTGTTCTTTACAATAATTTGAGAGGACATGCTGGAAAGGTGAAGTTTCTGTCACCTTCAAATTTGGGATTAAGACTTTTATAAAGTGGCTTCAGGTCAAAAGTCAAATAAGAGAAGGTCATTTAGTTTTTCAAAAACTTATAATTTTTTCAGTTTGATGGTGTTGACTCAGTGCAGAAGTTCTTTGGAAATACTACGTTCTTTTTTCAAGCTCATTATTAAATGAAACAAATACACATATATACATGAGTTGCAAATGACTTAGTTCTTCAGTAGCCCATAAAGAGAAGCTGGAATTATAGATTCCATTCTCAAGATACACCATGCTCTGCTTGTGTGTGTATGTGTGTGTGGGGGGAGGTGCAACATCCTTGGAAGGAGAGCTGGGTCTTGTAAATCTGGTGTTGCACTCTGAATTTGAACCAGTACATTCCCCACAGCAATTTTTCCCATTCACCATTTGCTTTTTTGAGATTATGAAAGCCATTTGTAGACGGCATGAGAAGTACTTAAAGAGGGAAAAGCCATATTTTTCAAATCTGAGGCACAAAAACACAGTGGAAACAACAGTGGAGTGCTGTGAATGCACAGATGAGTGTTTGCGAATAAAGCCATCTCTACTGCAACTGTAGACTTCTCTTCTGCTCCACCCCCGCCTGGGTAATTCACATATTTCTGGAGACCTTAGAGTCCCATTTCCTGGGCTTTACAACAGTTATTGAGTTGGTGCTATTGAAGACAGATAAATAATCTTACATTTGTTAAAAAAAACTTTTGACTTCAGAGTATTAATGTCTATGTTCAATAATTTTTTTAAAAGCAAACTGTCAGCAGAACTGATATTACTGTATGCCTCTATGTTTCTATAACTTTTGCAGAATGGATGTAAGTGATAAGAGATGAATAAAATCAATTTCATATCAGCTCCTTTAAACTATCTTGTACAATGCAGAGATGAAATAAATTTATATGGAGAATGGCTATAGGTGTAAAAGAGAGGGATGAAATTTAAGTAAGCATTAATTCATAATTTATTTTAGGAGAACTCATGGCAATGAGAAATGAGTTTAAGTTGGCTTTTTGTCATATTATATACTACAAAACATGGGGCTTGAAAGGAAAATTATTTAGGGATATCTAAATAAAAAGTAAACTCAGTGTATATAAATTGCGAGTGATCTAACTCATGTCTTACCAATCTGGATACTACCAGCTTTGGATTTTGCTCTCATGTGACAGAAACCTATACATGTGCTATCTTTCTTCTCTGGTGTATCTGCTAATACACTAGACTTCTTTGGGAACATCTGATTAACCTATTTATGCAAATGTTATTTATAAATAAAATATACCTAGATTATTGTAATAGAAATTTCCTGGTTCTTACTTTTTAGTTCATTTTCTATGTTGACTTATGTTTGTACAACAGGGAAAGGTGCCATAAGGTTGTTTTCCCAAACATAAAGATATTATGACTCAGAAAAGAGCTTCTTTTGGCCTTTCAAAACAGTCTAAGGAAAGTTGTGGGATGCTGGTTCCTGGGGCTTGAATGGGAAACAACATATGCTAAGAATAGCTTTTTGATCTCAGGGAGTAAAGGTAAATGGAAATGGAAAGGTGAGTGCCTCTTATGATCTTTCCTAGATGGAAAAATCTGTAGTAAGGAACAGAGATATTAATAAAGTTTTGGCAGGAGAAAGGGAAATTTATCAACCCATGTAATTCAGAATATTTCAACAGAAGCTAAGAAGCTCAACCATAAAGATATCTCTCAGTATAAGTTTGAATTTTATTCAATTTTATTTTTAAAACTTACTCCTCATTTAAAACATCATGATTTACAAACTTGTTCATTATACAGTTGCTTCATTTAGCATTTAGTGTTCCAGCACCAATGTAACCTTCCTCCACCAATATCCCCAGTTTCCCTCCCAACCCCTACCTGCCCCCTCAACACATAAAAAATTTACTTTATAATGCTTATTCCAAAAAACTTTAAGCAAAGGCAAATATAAATGATCAGAAAATAAAACAGTAAGAGCCAATTTGTGGTTACTACATGATTTTGACCGCTGTGAATAAGAAAATTAAAACTTTTTAATACATGCATTCATCTGGGGAACATAAAGCAACAAAACGGGAGATTAACACCCAGGAAGGGCTCAGATTAGTACCAGGAATTTTGCTCCATGACTTGAAGGCCAGCCACATGTGCTAGGTGAGAAGGAAGCTCAGATAGAGAAGAGAGCACCAAATAAAGGGTGTTGTGAAGACCCTCCCAGGGTGGGAGAGACATGCTAAAAGTAGTCTATAGACCAAACATGATTGCCACTCAATGCCTCTCTGGCAAAACACAGTACCCAAAAGAAGAGAGAGAGAACAGAGGGGAATGCCCTGCCACAGTGGCAGGGTGGGACTGGGGGGGATGGGGGGGATGCTAGGACCCGTGGTGGGGGAGGATGGGCACTGGTGGAGGGATGGGTACTTGATCATTGTATAACTGAAACCCAAGCACAAAAATTTATAAGTCTATAAGTGTACTTCATGGTGTTTCACTAATAAAAAAAATGATAAAAAAACTATTTAATACAATATAATGACATGCCTATTCTTATATATATATATGTTTTAAATTCTGAAACCTAAAGTATATTAACTTTTATTATTACTTGGATCTCATCATGGTAATAATCATATCTCACCTGTCATTAATAAACCCTTTAAAGCAATTTTATATTAATATATTTTGAAATTCACTTGGAGGGTGCTGGAGTGATAGCACAGTGGGTAGGGCGTTTGCCTTGCACGTGGCCAACCCGGGTTCAATTCCCAGCATCTCATATGGTCCCCTAGCACCGCCAGGAATAATTATTGAGTGCAGAGCCAGGAGTAACCCCTGTACATTGCCGGGTGTGACCCAAAAAGAAAAAAAATTCACTGGACTAGGTAAAGCATTCATATGTAAATTATGTGAGATACAACAGTTTTTACTAATTTCCTTCTAAATTTTTTTTATATTTCTGTTAGCAAAATTGTTGGTAACAAGCAATATAAAATAAATTATTGAGTGCCTGCATGGGGCAAGCTTATGAGGTGGTTGGGAAAATTGGAGACAATGGTGAAGGGAATGTGTAATGGTGGTAGGGTTGGTGTTGGAATATTGAATGCCTATCAAAATCATCAAGAACAACTCTGTAAATGATAGTGTTTTGTAGGGGAAAACAAGTTTGAATTTTCAGGCTATCTATAGAGCTAAGGTAGACCTTCATATGGCTGTTATCATAAACCATAGCTTTTTTGTTTTAGGAACAAATGTGATGACTTATGTAACCTAATTTAGTAAGGATAGAGCATCTATGGACCATAAGTTCTGTATAATCATCTATTTATCTATTGATTTGGGGTAAGAGCAATAAAAAATCTTTTTATGTTATTTTGCTTTTCTATAATTATCTATGTAGTATAAACAGTTCAGATTTAAAAGAAAATAACACTGTTTCTTGGGTATTGTCTTTTTCATCCTTTTTTTCCCAGCTGCTTATTTTTCACTTATGGTGACATTTCAGATTACAAATAATTGAATCAACCATTAAATATAATTACTGATTTTAAGCCACACAGGAATAAATAATTGATTTTATGGGGTTTTTTTTTGGGGGGGGAGCAGGGGATAGGCAACACACAGCAGTGTTTAGAGCTGGCTCCTGGTTCTGTGTCCAGGGGTTACTCCTGGTGGCACTTGAGGGAACCAGACACACTGGTGGGACTGAACGAGGATCAGCTTAGCAGCCACATGGTTGGCAGGTGCCTCACCCCTGCACTGTCTTTCCAGTCCCTGATTTTTTAAAAAATTTTTATTCGTGAGACACCATGAGGTACAGTTGTAGACTTACAAATTTTTGTGCTTGGGTTTCAATTATACAATGATCAAATACCCATCCCTCCACCAGTGCCCATTTCCCACCACCACGGATCCCAATATCCCTCCCACCCCCCATCCCCCCCATCCTATCCTGCCTCTGTGGCAGGGCATTCCCTTTTGTTCTCTCTCTCTCCTATTGGGTGTTGTGGTTTGCAAAAGAGGCAATGGGTGCCAATCATGTTTGGTCTATAGTCTACTTTCAGCATGCTTCTCCCATCTTGGTCCAGCCCCTGATTTTAAGATTTTAAGGACTTAATATAAAAGTACAAAAAGAGGAACATCTTAATAGTAACGGGTATTTTATTTAGATATGGTGAACTAGCAAAGTTATTCATTATTGGATTTTAGGCATAAAATGTTTCAACACTGATCCCTTCCCCATATCCACTCCCCTCCATGCCTGTGCCACCCCCCAGCCCATTTGCCGCCCACACAGTAGTCTGTTTTTACAAGACGCTCATAGACGTGTGTGTATGAGAGAGAGAAAGAGAGAGAGAGAGAGACAGAAAGGTTTACAGTACTGTTGCTGATAGGATTTCATACATAATTTTTACCACCTTTTAAGCACCCCTTCCTTCTCCTGGTTGAATACTTACATCCAGGAGAAGGAAATGTTGTTGTCCCCTCCCTGTCCCCAAATAGCATGAGTAATAGCTATTTTAATTTTAAAAATAATTTTTAAAATAGATACTGAAAATATATGGTATCTACTTTAGCAATTATTTTATCTAAATAAATTTAAAGAATAGTACTCGAGCAAAGCCTTCAGGTCATGTAAGGAGAAAATGTAGACTATAGTAATAATATCTCTCACAAGTATCTTTCTTTTACCACAAAAAGGGCATTCTGATGTAACATGACCTTGTGTCTCGTTGCCAACATCTCACTGTAAGGTGCTTACTTGCACATATCTGATGTGAATTTGATCCCCAGCACCCCTGAACCTTCCAGGAGTGATTCCTCAGGGCGGAGCCAGGAGAAAGCCCTGCACATAGCTGGGCATGTACCAAATTAAAAAAAA